AAAATTTATAACAGTGAATACCAGTATCAGGAAAACAGAGTAAGCACAAACAACTGAATGGTGAACTTCAAACTTAGAAAAAAAAGAACAGGCTAAGCCAAAAGCTTGAAGGAGGGAGGAAATTATAAAGATGAGAGCAGAAATTAATGCACTGGAAGCTTAACAACAACAACAAGGATTAATGAATCAAAGAGTTGTTTTTCTGAAAGATTAAAAAAAATCGACAAACTCATAGCCAACCGTATCAGAAAAGAAGACTCAAATCCACACAATTAGGAGCAAAAGATCCTGCAGAAATCCAGAGGATCATCTCTGAAAACTTGTATTCTAATAAGATGGAAAGTGCAGAAGAAATGGATAGACTCCTACATACATATGAATTACTAAAGCTGAATCAAGAAGATATAAAAATCCTAAATAAAACTAGCAATCAATAAAATAGAAGATGTAATTAAAAATATACCAACAAAGAAAATCCCAGGGCCTGATGGATTCACTGCTGAATTCTACAAGAAATTAAGAGACCTAACACCACTACTTCTCGAACTTCAATGAAATTGAAAGGGAAGCAATACTCCCAAATTCCTTCCTGAAAGCAAGCATTACCCTGATATCAAACCCAGAGAAGGACCCAACTAAGAGAATTACAGGCCAGCCTCCCTAATGAACACAGATGCATAAATCCTCAATAAGATACTGGTAAACAAAATGCAGCAAATCATCAAGAAGATTTTACAGCATGACCAAATGGGACTCATCTCAGGGATGCAGGGATGGTTCAACATAATAAATAAATGTAATAAAACACATTAATGGCCAAAGGACAAAAATCATACAATCATCTCAATAGATGCAGAAAAACCTTTTGACAAATTCCACTACATATTCATGATAAAAACCCTACAGAAAATTGGAATAGAAGGTCTTGGTCTCAATCTGATAAAAACCATCTATGACAAACCAACAGCCAACATCATGCTAAATAGACAAAAACTAAAAGCTTTCTCTCTAAAATCAGAGAAAAGGTCCAGTGAGCTAGCTCAGCAGACTAAGTGCCTGCTTAGGCAAGTGCAGGGACCAGTGTTTGATACTGGCACAACATGCTGCACCGGCCCCACTACCAAGCATGCTGAGCCAGCCACCAAAATTGAGTATGGTGATACACTCCTGTAATCCTAGCACTGGGGAGGCTGAAAACAGGAGGATCACTAGGAGTCAAAGCTGTGTAGTGAGACCCTGTAAAAACCAAATACATTTAAAAAAATAAATAAAATATATATATAAATCAATAGCATTCCTGTATACAAATAACAGAGAAATTAAACAATATCATTTATAATATCCAAAAACATGAAATACTTAGAAATCAATCTAACAAAAGAAGTAAAACATCTATATATTAAAAACTACAGTATTCTGAAAAAGGAGATTGAAGGTATCAGAAAATGAAAAGATACCCCTTGCTGATGGATAAGAAGAAGGAAAACAGTGAAAATGGCCAACCTCCCAAAACTGTTACACAGATTTAATGCAATCTTAATCAAGGGGCTGGGGAGATAGCCCAGTGGTCTAAGCACCTGCCTGGCAGGTACAGGGACCCAAGTTCAATCCCCAATCACCGCATGCCTCAAAACTCTAGGCGTGCCCTGCTAGCCACCAAAACTGGGCATGGTGGCACCAATGCTGGGGAGGCTGAGACTGGAGGATCACTACCAGTCCTTGCTGAATAGCAAGACCCTGTACCAAATAAATAAAATATAAAAAAAAAAAAACCAACTCAAAATACCATTAGCTTACCTCACAGAGCTAGAGAACACATTCTTAAAATTCACATAGAATCACAATAGGCCTAGAATAGCAAAGGTAATTCTGAGCAACAAAGGCAAGGCAGGGGGCATCACAATCCCTGACCTGAAATTGTAACTATGATAAAATCAACATGGTATTGGGAAAAAAAACAAACAAAAACCAAAAAGAAAAGAAAAAAAGGATGTGAGGATCAGTAGAACAGAATAGAAGACACAGACACAACTACAAACACACTTAGCTACCTTATCTTCAACAAAGGAGCCAGACATTCACTGGACAAAAGATGTCTCTAATAAGTGGTGCTAGAAAAACGGGCTTTCCACATGCTAAAGATGAAAACTAGATCCATATCTATCACCATGGACTAAAGTCCAAATGAATCAAAGATCTAAATATTAAAACAGAAACACTAAATTTACTGGAAGAGAAAATAAACAGAAATCTTGAAGACATAGTTGTAGGCAGAGACTTCACGAACAAAACCCAGACCCCCTCAGGAAATATTACAAAGAATCAATAAATGGGATCTCACCTTGTTAAGTTTTTACACAACAAAAGAAATCACCAACAGAATGAAAAGACAACTTATCAAGTAGGAAAAATTATTGCAAGTTGTCCCTCAAACAAAAGACTTAGATTTAGAATGTATAAAGATATTGAAACTGTCCTACCAATTTGTTTTTTTTTTTTTTTAATTTTTTTTTTAACATTTATTGTGTGTGTGTGGGTGGGTGGGTGTGTGTGTGTGTGTGGCCAGCTCAGCCCACCAGGGGGCGCGGCTGGCTGGCATGTGGTGCTGGGGGCTCGAACCGCGGTCCCTGTGCTTTGCTTAGCTTAGTTTGTTCCAAGTAGGTGCTTTAGACCACTGAGCCTTCTCTCCAGCCCCTGTCCTACCAATTTGATTTGAAACTGTCTCACTGCTATTTGTCTGTCAATAAAATTATAGGGAAAAAAATAGAATGTATAAAGAATCTTAAAACATTAGGGCCCCCAAATATAAAGACCCAACCAAAAATGGGCGTCTGAGATGAATGCACACTTCTCATATAAATACAAATGGCAATAAATACATGAATAAATGTTCAACATCATTGGTCATTCAAGAGATGCAAATTAAAACACAGAGATTTTCATCTCCAGAAACAATGGCTGTCATCAAGAAGTCAACCAATAACAAATGCCAGAGGCGCTATGCAGAAAAAGGAACCCTTCTCCACTGTTGTATAGCCTGGAAATATGGAAATCGCTGTGGAGATTCCTCCCAAAACTAGGATGAGAGGCCCCATTTGACCCAGAATTAAAAACATCAATGGCTGGTGAGATAGCTCAGTGGACTAAGCACTTGTTTAGGCAAGCATAGGGACTGGGGTTTGATCCCTGCCATACTGGCCTTGCCCCTGGGTGCACTGAGCCTAAGACCAGGTCAGGGTGTGGTGATGCATGCCTGTAATCCCAGCACTAGGAGGCCTGAAAACAAGAGGATCAGTGAGCTGTGTAGTGAGACTCTGTACAAAATACATTTTTTTAAAAAATTATACCACAGCAATATATGTGCACCCATGTTTCTAGATCTTGGAAACAACCCAAATGCCCAACAACTGATGAATCGATAAAAAAGATGTGGTCTTTTTCTTTTTTCTTTTGCATTGGGAATAAAACTCAGGACCTCATGCTTACCAGGCAGGTACTGTGCTGCTGAACTATATCCCCAGCCCCAAGAGATGATCTTTTTATGCAATGGAGTATTACTCAGCCATAAAGATGGAGTAGGTGCATGGATGTAACTCAAGACAATACTTGTAAGTGAAATAAACCAGATAGATGCACATGTGTGAACATCATATTGTCTCCCTAGTGTGAGAAGCTGAAAGAGGAAATAAGGTCCAAAATGTACAATAGATACTGTAAAACGGCAAGAAACTTCCAAGGAAAGAGAAACTGGGATTGAGAAATGGAGAAAAGAAGGGAAAAGCAAAAAAATACATATATATATATATACATGTGTGTGCATGTGCGTGTATGATAGTTAAGATAGTTCATACTACTAATTGCTTTCAGTTCATTGAATAGAAGGTTTGTGCTAATAGTTTGGAAAATTAAATGCAAATATCTTATATTCTGAGGAACTAAAGATGATATGCAATGTATTCACCATTTTTACATTCTTGTTTTGAATTTTTTTTCTTTTTTTTTTTGCGGTATCAGGGATTGAACTCAGGACCCTGTGCTTGACAGGCAAGCGCTTATTCTACTGAGCTATCTCCCCACCTCTCTTTGAAAAAAATCAGAAAACAAAAAATTAGATAAGATTCAAATATACAGCCTCACATTTTACACACTTAGGAAATAATTACTAGGCATAAAATTATATAGCATTTTAATTTTAATTGATGTTTTGTTCAAATGCACAGGACAGTGAAAGTTTTATTGGCTCAATGTTACAAGCTGACCAACAAAATCCTTGGGTCGCATAGTTACAGTAGCCCTCATCAGTTATTTCACATTAAGTGCAGGTTGTTAAAAAAAATCAGTGCTGTACTTCAGAGGAGCATAAGAAACATTTCAATTACATTAACAAAAATCTGGCAACTAACAACATATTAAATATGACAGTTATCACTTCAACAAGAAAAAAAATAATCCAGTTTCCCAACAGTGCAAACTAACAGCAGCATTTTCAAAGTTGAAATTAAATTTGTGTAAACACACCAGCCCACATGCACCTCTTAGATGAGTCCTCCACATTCAGGGCTGAAAAGCTACCATAAGTTTTAAGCCAGGAGCCGCATAAACTTGAGTACAGTACAAGACAGACCAATGTGTGAGCAGGACAGAGCCCTTGTTCTGATTGGCCAACCAGGGACATTTCCAGGGCAACCCCAGGGGTTTCTGGGCCCAAAGGTGCCCATGGTAACAGGCATTCTTGATGCCATGCTGACGTCAGTGGGGGGCATCTGAGCCTAGAGCCAGGTGCAAGGGAGGAATGGTGGCCTAAGTTCCACACAGTGGACACTGCTTTGCAACAGAGCATTCTAGGTCAGGGATGGCAAGCTTTTAGAGCCTTCAGTGATACAAACAGCCTGCCACACATGCCATATGTTTGCCACCACTGTTCTAGGTCAATTCAGTATAATAAAAACATGTCCTTAATCCTTTTTTAAAACAGGGAATATCTATTTGTTAAGCCTACCTCTTCCTATTTCTTTTTTTTTTTTTTTTTTCCCCCATCTTTTTGAGACAGGATTTCACTATGTAGTTCAGGCAAGCCTTGAACCTTCTTTCTATTTCAAGCATTAATGATAGACCTTTCCAGTGTGGTTCTTCCAGTCGCAGGATTAGAATGCTGTTTGCCATGAACATTCCATCTTTACACTAAACTTGGAGTTTCAGGCTTTACTTTTAAAGTCTGGCCATACAAAAAGGAACACTGATAAGCAGACTCAGCAGCCAGTTACTGGCATTACAATGTTAGGAAAATATCATTGCTAGTAGATGTTTCTTCTAAATCACTTTGCATTTACCAACTGTCAGACCAACAGTCATTCCTGAGTAGGAAGGTTCCAATTCCAACTTCTCCATTGGTCCATGCATATTACAACTTATTCTGGTCCCAAAACCTCGTGGCAGAACTTGCTTGACTGTCACCGACGCCGAATGGGCTTGTAGACACAAAATGCCATGAGGATAACAGTCACCAGCAGAATGCTGAATATGGTTCCCATCAACACTGCAAAGGGAAAACAGATTATGTAATGGCAGCTACAGGTTCTGTAATTTATCCATTTGCTGACAGTGATTCACCAACTGCGATCTGATGCCAGGCACTGGGCCAGGTGCAGAGGAAATAGCTGTGAAAAGACCCCATCTCAAGTTGTCTGCATGTACATGGGGGGTGGCCATACTACCCTGAATGCACCCGATCTTGTCTGATCTCGGAAGCTAAGCAGGGTTGGGCCTGGTTAGTACTTGGATGGGAGACATAGCTTGGTGTCAGTGGTGGTGCAAGCCTATAATCTCAGCTATTTGGGAGGGTGCTACAAGAGGATCACAGGTTCAAGCCCACCCTGAGTAACTGACTCAGCAAGACTTTATCTCAAACTTTGAAAAGAAAAAAAAAATTTTTTTAAAGGAAAAAAAAAAGACTTTATCTCAAACTAAAATACACAGGATGGGGCTGGAGAGATGGCTCAGTGGAATAAGCACTTCCCTGGCAAGCACAAGGGCCTGAGTTCAATCCCCAGTTCTGCAAAAAAAAAAAAAAGGATGGGGCTTAATTGTAGTACTGGGGGAAAATAAACCAGTAATGTGATGCTAATGAGAGATGGCTGGGTGACAGTGGGTGAGTGGGGGCAGCTACACACACACACAAGCTGAGCCCTTAATGAAGGGATGGAATAAGCCTGCAGTCCCGAGCAGTGGAAAAGGTCCTGAGGCTGAAAAAGCCCAACTCAGTCATGAAGCAGAAAGGAGACAAGTATGAAAGGAGTGAAAGGAGAGGCTGGGGAGGAGGACTGCTGGGAAGGCTGGAGCCAGTTTGTGCAGAGCACTGCCAACTGGGAAGGAATTTAAAGAGAAGCCACTGGAGGGTATGGGCTCATGAAGGCAAGGAATTTAGTTGGGAAAAAAGATCCTTCACCTGCTGTGTGGAGAATCATCTGATTACAGGTAGACAAAAACAGGCAGTGAGCCCAACTATGTCTATAAAGCCCCTAACAAAACATGGAGTTTCAATGAATAAAGTATTTTAGGCTCTACATAAATCTATTTTTTCTTCTTTTTCTATTTGTTTTTTGAGACAGTATCTTATTATGCAGTTCAGGCTGGCCCTGAACTTACTATGTAGCTCAGGTGGGCCTCAAACTTGCAGCAATCTTCCTGCCTCGGCCTCCCGAGTGCTAGAATTATAAGCCTGCACCACCACATCTGGTTCACTAGATGAGTCTTGACAAAGGCTTCCTGACCAGAGAGGTAACTAACTTGACAAACCTACTACATTTGGGGGAGTAAAGTTCACATGTAAAAATTTCAAGGTGCTCAGGTGAGAAAGGGGCTCCAGAACCAAGATCTACAACTTAGAACCAAGTTGTGGGTGATAAACTAATAGAACAATCCACCTGCCAGAACGTTTATTCAGCAAGATCAGTGACGTGCAATCTTGTTTCTCTGACTCATTTGAGAGTTCTTGGGATGCATTCGAAATGCCTGTATCTTCAGTGCGCATGTATGTATGTGGGCACGTCCAAGGTTCCAGGTGGGGCCTAACCATTGTTTTCTAATCTGGTTGCTGTACCTCTGAAAAAACAAGATTTGACCACATTTTTTTTAAATCAATAATTTCAGGGTATCTATTATTTACTCCCCCCACTGTCTACACTTAAACTAGTCATAAGGAATGTCACTTTTTATGTGTGTGTGGGGGGGGGTAGAAAAGTTGACAAAGACAATGTGTCCTAACTCCAGAAAGCCAGAAGTAATTTTAAGATCTTGTTAAATGAAACCTACAATATATATGAGCTAAATGTCAAATCTCAAAATAGCCCTTGTTAACTACCTGCTCTTGTTTTCAAATGTCTTGAAAACCAAATTTCTAAAGTTCTGACTATATTTGGACTTAATTGTCTTATAGTTAAACCATTTCATGTGTTTTGCAAGGGCTTAAAACAAAACTGCCATGGGATGCTGAGGCAAGAGGATCACAAGTTTAAGCTCAGGCCAGGAGATAGCTCAGTGGAATAATTGCTTGCCTGGCAAGCACAAGGTCCTGAGTTCGATCCCTGGTCCTGCAGAAAATAAAAAATAAAGGGCTAAGAAGGCAGCTCATGGGAAAGCCCTGGGTTCAATCTCTATTATTACAAAATAAAACACCCCCAAAGCAAAAATTATGAGGAAAGAATGAGGGGCAATGAAAGTTTACTTTTAAAAAATGCTTAAAACTGTGTTATTACAACACATCCATTTAAATCACCACCCACTTGGGCCTTGATCATCTTACTAGCTTTCCCTGAGCTTTGCAGGTAGTATCAATTGCCAGGATGGTAGGCCCAGACAGAACTTTGAAAGACTATTTAAGTCCACCTTTAGGGTCACTTGTCACGAAGCCTCATTTTCTACACCCATAAAATGGGACAGGTGAGACTCACCAAGGTCTCCTTGAGGCCTAACTATGGCTACCTTCAACAGTGTTCAGGCCAGGTAGGGTGGTACACATCTGTAATTCCAGCACTTGGGAGGCTGACATACAGTGATTACTGTGAGTTTCAGGCCAGCCTGGGCTACATACTAAGTTCAAGGCTGGCCTGAACTACATAATGAGACCCTGTCTCAAAAAGAAAAGGTATATGCATATAATAAACACATGCCACTACTATGCCCAAGACAGGAAGCATGACATAGTGGCTAAGAGTTAAGGGTTTATTTAGGATCAAACCATCTGGGCTTCCATGTACATTTACACGATATGTGACCTTACACAACTTACCCAACCTATCTGTTTCATTCTCTGAAAAACAGACTAAAATATGTACCACATATGACTGCGTAGGGCTGTCTTTTTCAGACTTTCAGGGTAGAGGACTAGGTTTCATAATTCCTAGTCTGTGAGAGACCACAACGTGGCCCTGTGTGCGCGCTTACTAGGCAGCTCCCTTCATCTCCAAAGTGTTCCAACAGGATATCCTGTCTGCTTCTTGTACTATGGATAACCACTAAAAAGATAACAATGTACAATGTATTGATTATCGAAACTGTCCTATTAATCAGCTTTGAAACTCTCATTCATATTTGTTTCTCAATTAAATATTTAAAAATAAAATTTGAAAAAAAAAAAAAAAAACAAAGTTTTCCAGTTCATAGACAGCAGTTGGATGTTGCAATGTCACCTTGTCAATTTTTTTTTAAAGGTAATTTATTTTTTTTAATTTTATTTATTTATTTATTTGTGTGTGGCCAGCTCAGCCCACCAGGCGGCAGGGGCTGGCTGGCATGTGGTGCTGGGGGATTGAACCATGGTCCCTGTGCTTTGCTAAGCTTGTTCTGAGTAGGTGCTTTAGACCACTGAGCCATCTCACCAGCCCCACCTTGTCAATTTTTGAAACACTCTCAATTTAAGTCACCTTTTGCAGAAAATGTACAGATTGCAGGCCACCCTCTGAACAGCGCTGAGATAACAGCAGTGGTCTCAAAACTACGAACATTTGGACCTCGAGGAAACTGCTAATGTGTGCAGTCATTTTCACTATCTCTGCTGGGAATGGGTGGTGCTACAGTAGATACAGCATACGGTGAACGATGCTGCTAGACATCCTACACTGGTCAGGACTCCCTTCCTCCCCGCATCTGAGAATCATCTGATCCAACACGTCTGTAATATCCAAATTGAGAAACTCTCTTCTAACAAGAATAATGTGTGGGAACTACTTAGCGGAGGGCTAGGTACAAAATGAGCGATCCACACACGGCAGGCAATGAGTTAAGGTCCAGCCAGGTCAACCCAGAAATGTTGCTTTGTGTATCTGTGGACTTACTCCAGAGGGCTTTGACAGCAGAGGACTCAGATTCCTAGTGAGGTTTACCAAGCTTTTCAGGGCTCCTTCCAGAGTCCTGGGCACGCATGTATACGCCGTATGTATGTGTATGTGTCCTCGAATCTCCCAAAAGTTAGGTTTCAAGCTCCACAGAACCCAAGTTCTGATACTGGCACTCACCACTCTCCTATCTATTCAACGCAGTAAAAAACACCTCACTTCTCTGAGCTTCGTCGTTTGTCTCTGTAAAAGGGACTTTAAAACATTGTACATGTTCTCGTTAAGTTACTGTGAGCGCAAGATGTACGGTGCACAGAAAATGCTCAACAACTGCCAATGACCCTTACTGCTGTGAGTATCGGTCCCCTTAGCAGCGAAGCGTGGCTGGAGCACCTAGGACAGACACATCTGGTCCACCTCACCGCCGGGAGGCTGGGACGACCCTGGCTGGGGATCCGTTCTGCGGATTCCGCTTTATTTAGCGCATAACGGGGCACACAGAGGAACGCACAGGCTACCAGGCCTCGGGAGGAGTAGGGAATGTCGGCCTTTTCCCCAGGCTCCGCAGAGGGGGTCGCGGGTCTCTAGAGAGGCCACCCTGCCCGCCCTGCGCAGCTCCCTCGCCACCACCTGTCCCCGCAGCCCCAGACCCCGCGGCCCGGAGCGCGACAGCCAGGCCCGGCCCAGCGCTCTCAGCCCGCGGCTCTTACCCAGGTTCTGCCCGCGCAGCACTGCATACGGCCGGCTCCGTCCTGGCGGCTCCACCGGGCTCGGGGCCTCCGCCAGACCCACCAGGAGGATGCACAGATCCAGGGACAGCAACAACAACTCCGGACGCGGCATCTTCACCCGCCCGGAGCGCCTAGGAAGCCACTTCCGCCGCAAGCCCCGCCTCTGCCGCCGCTTTCCGGGCCGCGCGCTGTTGCCTTGGTAACTGCACGCCAGCCGGAGGGAAGTTTGTCAAGGCTTAGAGCTCTGCGGCAACCGACGCTCCACCAGGGCAGCGTTCCACGCGATGACAGATTCGCCATGACCGATATTTCCCCATCCTTTGGGCTGCAGGAGGGCCTCATTCTGCAGGAGTCTTCGTAGGTCCGTTGTGGACTTACAGACCTCCCCCCCACCTACCCGCGAATCCGTGCATTTTACTACCAAATCTTCACCACAGGCCTCAGAAATAGACTCTGTATTCCATTTTACAAACGCCATCTTGGGGAACCCTTACCTAAACATCCTTTTCTAAAACTGCTGCCCTCCTGCTCCCTTAAATACTGCTTCTTCCCCTCCTTTCATCACCTTTTGCATTCAACGTGTATTTTGTCATTCTCTGAGGATCTGCTATCCATCCTAGAACGTGAAGTCCACGCAAGGCTTTGTCATCGCACAATGATCAATTTCATGATATATACAATGAATGCTTGCAGAGTAAGTGGGGAAAACAAGCTAATTTATTTAGCACAACGCTACACCTGAAGAGGGACAGGGCTACCCTGGCCCAGTGTAGCTCGCCATCCCGAGGCTGTCCTGCCTGGCTCATTGCCCAGGCTTTATCTTTACGGCTTTGGTAATATCTGCCTCAAAATGGATGAGCAAAAACACAGGGGGAGCATTTTGTTAACTCCAGATAGTTGTGCCCAAACACATAATGTTGTAGGCAGCTGAATTAGAAACATTATAGGCAGTCATACAGGCCCAGGCCTTCAAGGAGACAAGATGGAAGACAAGGTGACTTTGCAACTTGGAAGAGACAGACACTCCTGGACCACATCTCAACACAAAAGAGGAAACACAGCTACCTAGAGATGGGCATCAGGGATTGATATTCTAAATAGGTATCAGTCACCTTGAAAGAGCCCAAAAGAGTCACTAACCCAACCCCCAACAGAAAGAGACCCTGTCCCGTATTCAGACCCGCTTGCTACGTGACTCGCTTTGCCATTTGATACCGGATTAATCAATTTTACCTGAGCAATGGTGCTTGTAATCTCATTGGTTGACTATAGTTTTGTCCCACTTCATGCCCACCTAAGCGAGTTCCCATGTTCTCCACCACCTTAAGACTCACCTCACTGCATGGTTTTACTCTGTAAAAGTCCCTGGAGGCTCAGGTTGCTGTGGTTTGATCCCCGCAACTCAAGCCAGCCAAACCTGCCCTGAAGGCATTTGGAGCAAAAAAAAAAAAAAATCCTTAAAAAAAGAAAATGAGGATCAGTAATTGTCTAAAGAGAACCTGTTCTGGGCAGTCAGCTCCCAGGAACTGTGACCTTGACTCTGTTCCTGCTTTGGGATTTTTGCTGTTCTCTTTCTCTCCAGTGTTCTTCCTTGATAACTGTACATAGTAGGACTCTGCACGTCATGGAGACCTCAGGCTGAACACCCGATCCTCTCAGAACAGCCTCCACGGTCAGTCTCTTTGCTTCACCATTTTGCCTCTCCTAATGTGTAGTAATCATCACTATCTGCTTTGTGGGTTTTTTGTTTTGTTTTCCCCCTAATCTCCTCCCCTCAAGTTCATGAATTCCATGAAGACAGAGGCCATAACAGGTTCACTGCTCTGTCCTTGGTGCTGGAATGCTGCCTCACACAAGTATTTGTTCAGTGGATGTGGAGGAAAAGTGTTGAGGAAGTTGTTGTTGTTGTTGTTGTTGTTGTTGTTGTTGTTAAATCTTTTACTTATTTATTTGGTACAGGGTCTTCTTGTTGTGCAGCTCAGACTCACAGCAACCCTTCTGTCTCAGCCTCCCCAGCTCTAGGATTACAGACATGTGCCAACACGCCCTGTTTCAGTGGCAGGCATGAAGCACCCCTTGTTCCAGGGCCAGCATGGCATATGGTGCCAGGGATCGAACCCAGGGCTTTGTGCTTGCCAGGGAGGCAATTAGACCACTGAGCTATCTCCCCAGCCTGAAGTTGTTGGTTGATAGTAAGACTTTCCTAACATAGTAGACCGTGAGGCTTATGCATACTCTCTATCAGATTCGCAAAACTGACCATTTGATGTTTGATTTATTGAATCCTATGCTCTGCTGGCTTCCAAACATCATTTACCTAGCTGGATTATAATCCTCTGTCAGCATTGCAGGAAACCCAGGTAATTTAAATTCTCAATAAACAGTAAATAGTATTTAATAAGAGTACATCCCATGCAATACATGGGAAGTTGTTGGTTGAAACCGTATTTGTTGCTTATTTGAAATCAAATATAATTAAGAATCTGTGGGGCTGGGGAGATGGCTCAGTAGGTTAAGTGCTTCCCTGGCAAGTGTAAGGGTTTGAGTTCAATCTGTGGTTCTGAAAAAAAAAAAAAAAACAAAAAAAAGAATCTGTATCTCTGTTTTGGAGCTGGCTTTACTAGATTGCTAGACTCTTAATGCTGTGTCAAGTCCAACCCTGTAAACAAAAAGCAGAATAGTCTTTGACATCAGATATAAACAACAGACATGATCACAAATGTACAACCCTACTGATACAGGGAACCTCCAAATGACACAGGGAGCAAAAACTGAGCTCCCAACCTAAAGGGTACCTGGGACGAGTTTGTGTTCTCTAAAACCAAAGCATGAATTTTAGGAACAAATGGAGGTTATGAGCAGAATATGTTTATTAAAGGAAAGAAAGCTCCTGTCTGAGAGGGGAACAGGAGGGGGGCCCCCAAGCGGGTGGTCCCCAGGAAGCTGTCTCTTCTAGAAACTTGTACAGAGGAAAACCATGTGGTGAGGCAGATCTAAGGTGGTGAAGACATGGGAACTTAGTTGGGTATGAGATGGGACAAAACTATGGTCAACCAATGAGATTACAAGCACCTTTGCTCAGGTAAAATTGATTAAATCCAGTATCAAACGGGGAAGTGAGTCACTTGCAAGTGGGCATGAATACAGGACATGAATACAGTCCTGTTGGGGGTTGGGCTAGTGACTCATTTGGGCTCTTTGAAGGTGACTGATACTTATTTAGAATATCAATCCCTGATGCCCATCCCTAAGGAAGAATGTAGCTGTATGTTTTCTGTTTCTTGAGCTGTGGCCCAAATGAGAGCGTCTCTCTCTTCCAAGGTGCAAAGTCACTTTGTCTTCCATCATGTCTCCTGGAGGGCCTGGCCCTGTCGGACTGCCTATCATATTTCTAGCTAATTCAGCTGCCTACAACACTACTACACACTTCTCAGTCTTGGTAGAGTATAAGCATACAGCTAATGCAGTCCTGAACTTCGGGGCTGGAGCACTTATTATACACAGTCCTCATCCTATTTAACCCTCACGATAGCCCTTCAAGGGAGGATCTGATATATCCACTTTACAGAAAATGATGAAACTGTAGCAGAGAGACTATTTTCCAGTCAACATGTTTGATACCTCTGTTGAAGATAAGCTGGCTGAGTGTGCTTGTAGTTGTGTCTGCATCTTCTATTCTGTTCCACTGATCCTCTGTTGGTTTTTTTCCCCCAATATCATGTTGATTTTATCATAGTAGCTTTATACTATAATTTCAGGTCAAGGATTGTGAAGCTCCATGCCTTACCTTTGTTGCCCAGAATTGCCTTTGTTATTCTAGATCTCTTCTGGCTTCATATGAATTTTAGGAATGTTTTCTCTAGTTCTGTGAGGTAAGCTAAAGGTATTTTGATTGAGATTGCATTAAATGTGTGTAACAGTTTGGGGACACGGCCCTTTTCACTATGTTGGTTCTTTCTATCCATGAGCAAGGGATAACTTTCCATCTTCTGATATCTTCTTCAATCTCCTTTTTCAGAGTACTGTAGTTTATAATGTACAGATGTTTTACTTCTTTTGTTAGATTAATTCCTAAGTATTTCATTTTGGGGGATGCTATTGTAAAGGATGTTGTTTACCTAATTTCTCTGTGAGTTTGTTGCCTTTATATAGGAAGGCTGTTGATTTTTGAGTGTTGACTTTGTATCCAGCTACACTACTGAAATGGGTTACTAAATTTATAAATTTTTTAGTGGAGCCTTTATCTGCAAATAATTATAATATAACTTGTTTCTTTCCTATCTATTATGGTTTGTGTCTAGTTGTCCCCCCAAAGCCTCATGTAGTCATGGGGTGGCTTCTGGAGTTTGTGATCAATTATTATTATCATTATTATTTTTGTGGTACTGGGGATTGAACTTAGGACCCTGTGCTTGCCAGGCAAGTGCTTATTCTATGTGATCAATTCCTGATACAATGCTGGGACTGCGGGTGTGAGTGCTACACAGCAGCCCTGGGGTGGGTAATTTGTATTACAATGTAAGGAGGAGAGAGAGACTGGCTAGCTCCTGAGTTGCTGCCATGCTCTTTCTGTCTGCTCTTTGCAGCCGCCATGAAAGGTTGCTCTCTGCCATGTGCCACTCTGCCTTGGAGCAGCTGAGTATGGACTGAAATCTCTACAAACTGTGAGCTAAATAGACTTTTCCTTCCTTCATTTTTGGTGTGGGCTATTTTGTCCCAGCAACAAGAGAAGAGTAGCTGAGACACTGTCCTTATTCATTTTATTTCTTTCCTCTCTTGTCTAATTGCTCTGCCTAATGTTTCTGGAAATATATTGAATAAAACGGATGCTAGTGGACACTTTTGTCTTGCTCTTTTTTTTTTTTTTTTTTTAATTCGGAACTAGGGATTGAACTCAGGCCCTTGCACTTGCAAGGAAAGTGCTTATTCCACTGAGCCATCTCCCTAGTCCCTTGTCTTGTTTTTGATTTCAGAGTGAAATAAGTTTTTGACTGTTTGGTGTGATGTAAGCTGTCGGTTTGTCATAGCTGGCTTTTGTCAGATTAAGATAAAGATCTACTGAATTTTCTAAAGGATTTTGTTATGAATGGGTGTTGGACTTTGTCCAAAGTTTTTTCTGCATCTGTTAAGATGGTCATGGGATTTTTGTCTTTGGTTCTGTTAATATGGTGCATTACATTTATTGATTTGCATATGTTGAACTACCCCTGCATCCCTGGGATAAATCCCACTTGGTCATGATGTATAATCTTTTTGATGATTTGCTGTATTTTGTTTGGCAGTATTTTACTGAGGATTTTTGAATCTATATTCATTAGGATTCTGACCTGTAGCTTTATTTTTTTTAATTATTTTATTT